CCCTTACACACAGAGAAACGGATAATGCATCCATTACACACACACAATGCAACCCTTACACACAAAGACAATGCATCCTTTGCACACATACATAGAAACACACAATGCAAACCCTTACACACACATGAAAACACACACACACTGCTTTTCTTACATACACACAGAAACACAATGCATCTCTTACACACACTCAATGCACACACATACAGACACACACCTTGCAACCCTTACGCATACAAACACAGATTCACACAATGCATCCCTTACACACAACCAGAAACACACAATACATCCCTTACACACAAATACACACTGCTTCCACTACACACAAACACACTGCATCACCTACACAAACTCGTATCCCTATACACTACATACCATAAGCACACATATTATATCCTCTACAATAACACATAGCACATCCCCTACACACTCCACTCCCTGTGAGCGAATTCATGGGTGGGTGGAACATATAAGTGGACTTATGAGTGGGCCTTATGGGCATACTCACCGTCAGGCCCTGGGGCTCAGACCATGAGCTGTGTAAGGGCCCCCAAAAAATGGAGCTGCTTCCAATTCTCCCAGAACATTGAATTTTGTGACCACAGTTGCAAACAGCCTCCAGAGATCCTGTTCTACACCAGACCAGTGGAGCCAAACTGCAGTCCATCATCATCCTCATCTGGTTGTAAGTAGGCAATCTAGTATGATATTAGTGACACTAATCTATAATTTACCTCACATTAAAGGGACACTATAGTCCCCAGAACCATTTCAGCTTAATGAAGGCTGCAGGCTTTTTAATGTATGCAGCACTGGTGTTAGTTCATATGGCAGATCATATGGGTGGAGCATTGTGATGTCACATGGGGGCGGCAAATTTTTCTTTTGCCTAGGGCGGCAAAAATCCTTGCACCGGCTCTGATCCTGGGCAGGTGCACCAGTCTACTGGTGACCCACATGAGGGGAGTGGACTGATTGCACTGCACTCTCCTCCTGCCCAGACCCGTCTTTACCACAGTGCAAGTGCCCTCTGCCCCTAATTTACAGTAGCTTACACTCACAGCAAGCAGTGCCTGGAGCCCTTTGCAGAGACGGGAACAAAGAGGTTCTGCGGCAGCTGGCCGTCCTGCAAGCATTACATTAAACAGCTGTTCCCCATGCAGCCACAGGTGGCGCTGTGCTGGGAGAATGTGATTACTCTTCACTTCCTCCCAGCCTACAGAGCAGCGCATGGGGGAGAGAGAGGAGGAGGCATGATTTAATCTTACAACAAATCCACTAAGCAAATCTTTATAAATTTGGGGGGATCAGCTCTGTAAACAGTTTCTTAGTGTTTACTCTGATGTCTGTATTAATATTGAGGGATGTCTAAGTAGTAACATCAGTGTGTGTCAGCAGTGCCAGCCGTTGGGGTGTGCACGCCGTGCGGTCATGCAGGGTGCCATGACAACAGAGGCGCCCGGCGGCCAACACAGCTCACAAGTTGGGTATACCAGCATATTCAATTTAAACGATTCGCTGGTGGTCCACTGGTGCGCACCAGCAGTAGGTGCAGTCAGATTATATCCTCTCCCTTGTGGTTCCGGCGCTCAGTTAGTGAGTCAGAGCACAGGCTCAGAGATTCTCAGCCTGCACTCTGACAACATTGAAAGTCAGAGCCGTGAAGGAGCGGGTAGTAGCATAACATCAATAACCGTTCTAAAACCAGGAAACCAGGTGGGCATGAATGGTGAACTGATTTGGTGGTGCAATGGGCCACTTGACTGGTTTTGCCCCCCAGGCCTAAGGCTGCCAGCCCTCCCCTGGGGGTCGGGGACCTATTGTCCTCCCCTCCAGCCCCCACCCCTGATCGGGCCCTAAAGTAGAATAAGGCGGGGGGGACCTATTGTCCTCCCCCCGGCCCTCACCTCTGAGCGGCGGGTGGGGGCCCTAAAGTAAAATAAGGGGGGACACCTATTGTCCTCCCCACCGGCCCCCACCCCTGAGCAGCGGGTGGGAGCTCTAAATCAGAATACGGGGGGGCACCTATTGTCCTCCCCCCTAGCCCCCACCCCAGAATAAGGGGGGGCACCTATTGTCCTCCCCCCCAGCCCCCACCATGATAATTATAAGTAGCAGCATGTAAATAGTTTTTTTATTTTTTTTAAATGGTGGAGCCAGGGTAAATTACTGGCCAGCACTGGCTAGCTATTTGACACATTTAAAAGCTTGAAGAAGACCAGGTCCCCTGAAAATCCATACCCATCGTGTGACCCTGACATCACGGGCCACCCGATGGGCATCTTAACATGCGGCCCCGGCGGTTTGCTGTGTGGGCCGGGCCGCAAATGATGATGGTAGGCACCTGGATGCAGGGGTCTGCAGGGTGGCCGGGCCCCTGGAGTGACGGGCCCTGTATGTACGCCAGTATCTGTAGGAAAAGGAGGATCGAGTCACTTTATTTTTGTATTGTGGTATGCTAAATATCGTGCTAGTACTGAATCAGAGGTTATAGGAGGTGGGAACAGCTAGGGAGAGCATGCTACTCAGGTAGGGTGGGAGCTTCCCAGAAATGCTCTTATGCACAAGGCTGGAAAGATGAAGAGTGCGTCGGGATTCCAGCGACAGCCAGTTCAGCTCTTTTAACATGTCACAGTAACGGGTAAAGTAAAAACATTCGAGTACAAAGCGGCAGAACGAATTATATAACGTATTAAGTTTATTAAGGTGGGTTTGCAGTGCGGGTGCATACACTACATCCCCATAATTAATGACCGGCATTAGCATTTGTTGCACTATCTGTTTCCTTACTCTGGGGCTTAGGCAGGATTTGTTTCTGTACAGGGCACCTGGTTTTGGGTAAAGTTTTGAAGAGATTTGTTTCAATGTAAAGCCCAAAGGATAGATTGGGGTCTAGCAACATACCTAGATATTTAAAAGAGCAGACTGCTGTCAGTGTGCTATTTGAATTTGTTCTGATACACAGTTGTTGATTCTGTAGTTTATGTATTTTAGGTACAGTTCTAAAGAGCATTGTAACAGTTTTGTCAGTGTTTAGGAGGAGTTTGTTATCCACTATCAAGTTTTCTACCTCTGTGAATTGGTTTTGAAGCACAGCCTCAAGCTGCGGTAGCTTGGGTTTACTAGCGTAGATTACAGTGTCGTCTGCATACATGTGTACAGTTGAGCATTTGCAGACGTTAGGCAGATCATTTATAAATAATGTGAATAGCAGGGGGCCATGGGGAACACCACACGTGACTGGAAGAGGGAGGGAAGCACTATCAGAAATGGCCACATATTGCAATCGGTCTGAAACATACGATCAAACCAGGTTAGCAGACGATAACCAATGTCTGAGTTTTTAGGTTTTTGCAAAAGAATGCCATGGTCTCTTGTGTCAAAGGCCTTGGCAAAATCCAGGAAAATAGCTCCAGTTACGTTTCCTTGTTCCATGCCAATTTGGAGGTCATTGCAAACTTTTAAGAGGGCAGTCAAAGTTGAGTGATTTGGACAAAAGCCTGATTGATCAGGGGTCAGATAATTGATAAATCGTTGATAATATTCATATAGTTGCGTGTGGACGCATTTTTCCAAGATTTTTGACAATACAGGGAGCAATGATATCGGGCGATAGTTAGATACCAAAGTATTGTCACCACTTTTATGGATAGGTACAACTTTTGCAGTCTTCCAAAGTTTGGGTATGTATCCTGACACCAGGGATTCATTGATAAGGGTAGTGACAGGTTTAGCAATTGCTGGCGCATTGAGCTTCAACAACATTGCTGGGATTTGATCTGGTCCACACTGGTTTTTAATTTTTAAATTATTAAGCTGTTTATTAATGACACTAACAGGCACAGGTCTAAAATAGAATTTCTCTATATGAGGATTTTGAAGATTTGGCAGGGACTGATTTTTTTTTGCGGTCTGAAAATTAGTGTCATTTGTTATCGTAGCAACCAGGGTGGTAGCACATCCAACAAATTAATTATTAAAGGCATTTGCTACATTTAGGGGGTGTTGCAGTGTTTGGTTGTCCATTTTGACAGTGGAGGGTTGGGAGTGGATTGTGGGGGTTTGTATGCTATTTATGATTTTCTAGAAGTTTCTTGGGTTTGATAGGTTGTTGTTCAAATTTTTACTTAAATATTGGGCCTTTGCCATTTTTGTTTGTTTTTTTCAATTTGACAATTTTTATTTTTCAGGTTCAAGTTCAAGCTTGGGGTACAGAAGGAAAAAGGGGTGGGGGGATGAAACACATTTGCACATTTCCTACTTTTCGGTTACGTTTGCCATCCTGTTCATAATTTCTAACGAAAACGTAACTATATTCGAATTTGCCCACTTTGTCACAACAGGCCAGTTCTTTGTTCTGTTCCCTGTGTTGGCAAAAGTGGCTTTTTTTTTTTTTCCTCTCCTCCTCCTCTCTCTTTCTATATAGTTAACCATTTTACCTTTGTGATGCTTATTCATAAACAAGGTGATAGGTGTGCGGGGTACAGAAATGAATAAGGGAGGGGTGGGGGATTACGTAACTTCAGTTGACAAGGCTTCACAGTACATTCTATTGATATGTGTGCGGTTTTCGCGACAAATTTGTATACCCATGGTGGTACATATCACGCTTGTCTGCATTGTGCTATCATCATATTCCAGTCCCTGAGTGGTACTGGGGGTGCCGTGTCAGTTGTGGAAGTACGTAGATTACATGAAATACAATATAAACAATATAAACGTTAATATGAACTATATACATGGAACTTGTTCCACCTATACAAGTTTTTCTGTATGACTGAAGCTCTGTTGCGTTGGGTTTGGTCTAGGCATGTCATTTGGGTCTGGTGCCATTCCCGTCAGTGTCTATTTCTCCGCATTGCTAAATGTATACATTCTTGAGTTTGATTCCTTGTCTGTACCTTTTATTTGTTTAGTTTGTTACGGAGGGTCATGTGTTGCGTGTCTGCGTGTTATGTGGGTTGCTTGTTCGTAATTGAGCCACATATTGTAAGCCTCTGTGGTTGTGCGGTCCTCTTGCCCTAGTGACCCCGCATGTTTTTCATATGAGACGTTGGTGGATGTTAGGGCTATTATTTCTGTTTTTGTGGGAATCACTGACGATTTCCATTGTCTTGCTATTAATGTCTTTGCCGCTATCGTGATAAGGTAGACTAGTTTTCGAGCGGGTTTCGTGATATTTTGTGGTGATAGGTGTAATAGGTATAGTTCTATGTTGGGTTGGATCGATACCCCTATGCTGTTTGTAACTATTTCTTCTACTGCTTCCCATACTGGACGTATGAGTGGACAAGTCCACCAGATATGTAATGTGTCCCCTTTCGCTTTTAGGCATCTCCAGCACTTGGCTTCGGAGTTGTTGTACATTTTATTTAATTTGCTAGGGGTGAGGTGCCACCTATAGAGTAGTTTTCTGGCTATTTCTAGGTGAGAGGCGCATCTTGTCGCGCTTTTGTGTGCTACAAAGATTCTACCCCATTCCTGGGTTGTTAGTTCCCTCCCAATATCTGTATGCCATTCTTTTTGAAATCCCCAGAGGTGCGTTTGAGGCCCCCCATTGAGTATGTTATAGCATAGTGATATAGTTTTGTCTTGCTTTTTCCTTTCGAGGCATTTAGTTTCAAAGTGAGTTAGTTTTGGTTCACCAGTCACTGGTTGAGTGGGTGTATGTGCAGTCCGTAACTTGTGTTGAAGTTGTATATATGAGAATAGGGCCCTGTTTGGTATATTATGGTGTGTTTGTAATTCTTTGAAGCTCCTCAGGGAGCCGCCTTGAGTCATTTGGTGAAGGTAGGTTAGGTCGTGTTCAGCCCAAATTTTATAGTTGAACGAGGGGTCTAGGGTGTGCACCGTTTTTAAGGGGGTTGCGGGGGACCACTTATGTCTCGAGCAGACCCTGTGCTTGTTTTTGTCCCAAATAGATAGCATGAGTTTGGTTGTCGGCAATATCTGAGGGGTGCGGGGTCGTATTTCCCTTGGGGCCCATATGAGGTGTGCTATTTGCCTCCCTTCTAATCTGCTGGATTCTAGTTCCAGCCATTGTGGGGGTTGTTCTCTAGAGTGGCACCGTAGCACATTTGCCAGTTGCGTGGCTCTGTGATATTCTCTTACGTCCGGGAATCCAAGTCCTCCCTCTTTTATTGACCGTGACAGGAGTCGCCATGCTACCCTGGGTTTTTTGTTTTGCCATCCAAATCTCAAAAGGGTCGTCTGGAGGTTTTTGAAATATTTGGCGGGGACTGGTATTTGTAATGTTCGGAATAGATAAAGAATTTTTGGCAGGATCATCATTTTGATAGCCGCGCATCTACCCACCCAAGATAGGTATTTGCCTTCCCAGGACTTTAATGTATTTACAATTTCTGTGTAGAGTTTTTGGTAATTCATTGTGAAAAGTGAGTTATATGTTTTTGTGATTTTGATTCCCAAAAATATGAGGTGGTCTTCTCTCCAGTCATAATGAAATGCCGTTTTGAGTCTGGACATTATGTTGTCTTCTATGCCTATTCCCATTGCTTGGGTTTTAGTGGTGTTTAGCTTGTAGTATGAGTGTGCGCTATAGGATTGCAGTTCCTTTTGGAGATTTGGGAGGGAGATCAATGGTTGGGATAGCGTTAAAAGGACATCGTCTGCGAATAGGTTGAGTTTGTACTCTCTTTCTCCTATATTTATGCCGTGTATGTTTGGGTTACGTCTAATGGCTTCCGCGAGGGGTTCCAGGGCTAACACGTAAAGAAGTGGTGACAGGGGACAACCCTGTCTAGTCCCATTTGTGATGTTGAATGGATCTGATCGGGAACCTGAGGATGTTACCGCGGCGTTCGGAGAGCTGTATAGGGCTTTGATTGCTGTCAGATAAGTGGGGGGAAAGTCAAATTTTTTCAGAGTAGCCTCTAGGAATTGCCAATTCAGTCTGTCGAATGCTTTTTCTGCGTCTAGGGAGATTGAGACCTTGGGTCCGGTCCATGTGTATCGACTGTATTATATCTATTACCTTTCGTGTATTGTCTGAGCCTTGCCTTCCGTGAACAAAGCCCACTTGGTCATTTGAGATAAGGTCAGGGAGGATGTTTTTGAGTCGGTTAGCTAAAATTTTTGCGTACAGTTTGGTGTCTGAATTTAGTAATGATATGGGGCGGAAATTTTGGCAGTGTGTCGGGGGTTTACCTGGTTTCGGTAGGGTAATTATTCTAGCTGCTAGGAACTCCGCTGGGAAGTTTCCTGTCTGAAGAGCATGGTTGAAAGCCCTGTTGAGATGTGGGGCCAGAAGTGGAGCGAATTCCTTATAGTACTCGTTCGTAAAGCCATCCGGCCCTGGTGCTTTTCCTGGGGGCATGGATGTTATGCATTCTATGATTTCGTTTTCTGTAATGGGAGCTTCCAGAAGTTGTTGCTGGGTTGTGGATAGGGTTGGTAGCGGGATGTTTGATAAGTAGGCTTGTATGCCAGCCTCCGTGGGTTGCGGCGTTGTCTGATCCTTGGAGAGATTATATAATTGGCTGTAATAGTGGGCAAATTCTTTACAAATGCCTGAGGGGAGGTGGATTTTTTGGCCCTTTTTATTTAAGATATGTGCTATCCGTGTTTGTTGCTGTCTCTCTCTTAAGTGTTGTGCTACAAGTTTACTGGCTCTGTTGCCTTGGACGTATGTGCGAGTGTTTAGGCGCTTCAGCATGAGGCCGAATTTGTGGAGTCTAATCTCATTGAGTTTGTTTTGGAGTGTAATGATTTGCGTTTTGTGCACTGCTGACGGTTGCTTTTGATTATCTTTGTTAAGCACTGCTAGTGTTTGTTCACATTGCTTAATTTCTTTTTCTGATCGTTTCTTTAGATATGTGGCTCTACTTATTAATGTGCCCCTAAGCACAGTTTTATGTGCAAGCCAGATCATGTGGGGGTTCAGGTCGTTTGAGGCGTTAGTGGTAAAGTAGTTATGCAGTTCTTTTTCTAGGGTTTTGCAGAATTGTGGATCTCTAATTAGATAGTCATTAAGACGCCATGGGTTTCTATGTTTGTAGTCATAGGAGCTCGACAATGATAATGTCACTGGTGCATGATCTGACCAGTCGGCGGTCAAAATTTCGCAGTCTAAGATGTTGGTCATTGTGGATTCGTGCATGAAGCACCCGTCAATTCTAGAGTATGTATTGTGTACTTTGGAGTGGTGCGTGTAGGCTTTTTCCGAGGGGTGGAGGGCTCTCCACACGTCTCTCAGGCCATATGTGGCTAGCAAATTCCTAAGGCTTTTGCTTTGTTTTTTCATGGTTTTGTAGTGAGGCGACGTGGGCGGTCTAGTTGAGTCTAATGTGGGGTCTAACACATGGTTTATATCCCCGCTTATGACTAAAGTGCCTTTCCTTATTTTTTCAATTTTAGAGAGGACTGCGTGCAAAAAATTTCTTTGGTTGGTGTTTGGTGCATATATATTCGCTAGTGTGTATTCTGTTTCGTTGATGGTGCAGTGCCATATGATGTATCTCCCCCCCTGGTCTATTAATTGGTTGTGTGATATGATCGTGAGGTCTTTGCTGAAGAGAATTGACACGCCTCGAGATTTACTCGGAGTGGTGGAATGTGCTTGGTGGGGGTACATGTTAGGACTTATGTGGGGGTGAGCATCGGTTCTAAAATGTGTTTCCTGGAGAAATACTATGTCGGCTTGGTTTTTTTTAAGTTCCCTGCTCAGAGTGTGACGCTTTTGTGGGATATTTAATCCCTGTACATTGTGGGAGTATAGTTTTAGATTGAATGTGTGTGGGAATTGGATGTGCTGTTTCGGTCTTCACTGTCTCGTGTGTTGGCTAGCGGTGGATCGCCGCTCTTGTTCTGAGAAGAGTAGCCGGGGGTGGTTTTCGTTATACGTAGGTGTGGTGGGTGACCCTTGATCGGTTCTATGAGGCGGATATAGTGTACTAGTGGAATGTTAACCCTGCCTTTGTGTGAATTGCATACAGACATAGATGATGTGATTTGTCTTTGAGCATAGGTGAATCGAAGACATTTAACATATTTACAATAACATAAACATAACAATTTTTTAGATCTGGCTCTTGTGCCCTGGTCGTCCATCAGGGCGCAGTTTATCCCGCTAGTTCCTCCTACTAGCTCTCCCTATCTGGGGGGTTGGGAAGTCTGGTTCTGGCCTCCTGGCCGAGCCAGTGGTCGCTGCCCCAGGCCAGCGGCTCTAATCTGGGCTACCTTGGGGATGTGTTTTGAGGGTTGTCTGACTCACAGGGAGTGTTGGTAGGAGCAGAGGGATCTTGCCATCAATCTTGTGTTCTTGATTTGGAGATGGGCATGTGGGTTTTTAACGTGGAGGTTTGGAATTATCACTTATCTAGGGGGGGCTGCGGGCGTTGGGGTGGGATGTTGGTTTGGCAGAGAGGCAACCGCTTGCTCCTCCGTTTCCCTCTTTTAGTCCATGTTACTGGTATCTCTATACTTTGCTTGCCTCACGTCCCCTAGGGGGCGGGAGTAGCAGTGGCCCCTGCATGGTTTCCCAACTGTTGGCTCGCTATGTGGGAAGGATGGTGCGCGTGGTTTAGGTAACATTTTTAGGGTCCATTAGTCTATACTGTCTGTGGGGCTCCTGCCCTCGCTTGGTTTTATGGCCCTATTGTCTTCTGACCCTGACCTGGTGCTGCTCCTGGGGCATCGCCCCGCCACCCTCCATGTCTCCCCGCTTGAGCCCTTGGTCCCGCTTCTTATTTTGGCTATGTTAGGTAGGTGGGGTAGTTAGTGGGTATGTTTTCAGGGGGGGGCTACAGGGTCGGAGACCCTCTCACGTGGGTCGTATCCTGCTGTCCAGACGGGGTCCCTGCCCCATGGTGGTTAACTTTCCCCTCTTGTTACCCCTTCCCTCACAGTTCCTCTCCCCCCTCCCCAGTCCCCCTCCCCTTGTTCCCTATATTTATGAAATAGTGATCCGTAATGTTAACACAAAAACAGTTGTAGCGAGTATATTACCCTCTCCCGTCGTGTTTCCCTTGGTCGACGGTGAACAATGTCCCAAAGTCCCTGAAAAAGATTAGCCGTGTCCATGGTGTATTTTGCGTTGATACTGTCCGCATGGATGTCATCCGTCATCCCTTGGCTTCCGTCACTGTGTTGCTGTGTGTTTCGGCGTTTTGGGGTGTTTCACCGTCTGCCACTCTTGGTGCAATGTCGGTCGTTTGTTTGGTTTGTCCCTGTTTGTAGCTAGAGTGATGCCCCAAGAGCGCAGCAGTCGGGTTCCTTCTTCTGCGGTTGAGGCAATTTGGGTCTTGCCGTCTCGTAGGATCAATAGCTTGATTGGGAATCCCCAGCGGTACGGGATTTTTCTGTTCCTTAGTTCAGCTGTGACGTCCTTGAAAGTTTTCCTGCGTCTAAGTGTTTCGGCCGAAAGGTCTGCGTATATCTGGACCTCTTTATATCTGTCCGGGAGATCTTGTAGAGGTATCTTGGAGCGCAGGAGGGATTCTTTTACGTGATAGTAGTGTAGTCTGAGCATCACGTCCCTCGGTATTGAGGCTGGCAGATGTTGTGGCTTTGCCACCCTGTGCGCCCTATCCATGAGTAGCATGTCAATTGGGAGGTCAGGAGCTAAAATATGGAACAGGTCTGTGAGGTATGTCATGAGGTCTGCAGCCTGTACGTCTTCAGGTATACCTCTCACCCGGAGATTTTGGCGCCTGGATCTGTCCTCAAGGTCCATGTTTTTTACTTCTTGCTTCTCAAGCTTTGCCTCCAGCTCCTCAATTTTTTCTGCCATGCTGTTGTGTGCTGCGGCATATTCCGCCATCTTGCTTTCCATGTGGGCTGTACGGTTTCCTATGTCG